GGACACACTTTTTGCTGGACCCAAACTCAACATTTAAAAAAAAAAAAAGGTTCTGATGCACATGTAGTATTTTCTTAAAAATCTGTAACTGCTCATCAACCATTGAGTAATATATGGAATTGCTCAATCACTATATTGTATACCTGAAACTAATATAACACTGTATGTTTAAGTACATTGGAATTCAAAGAAAAGAAAAATATATATATATATATATAACTGCTCATCTTAGCATTAAGCAACAAATCTTAAAATTGCAGGTCTCCCCTTATCCCTCCTAATTTCTCTATCAGGTATCTTTTCCATTACCCATATTACTATGGGACTGTTTCATAATACCACATGTATGGACTGAATTATTTCCCCTTAAATTCATGTTAGGGGCGCCTGGGTGGCTCAGTCAGTTAAGCGTCTGCCTTCGGCTCAGGTCATGGTCCCGGGGTCCTGGGATCGGGTCCCACATCGGGCTCCCTGCTCAGCGGGAAGCCTGCTTCTCCCTCTCCCACTCCCCCTGCTTGTGTTCCCTCTCTCGCTGTCTCTCTGTCAAATAAATAAAAATAAAAATAAAAATCTTAAAAAAAAAAAAAATTCATGTTAAAGCCCCCATCCCCAATGTGACTGTATTTGGAGATAGGGCTCTTAGTGAGGTAATTATTTTTAAATGATATAAAAAAGGTAGAGCCCTAATCCAATAGAGCTGGCGCCCTTATAAGAAAAGGAAAAATACCAGATCACTCTCTCACCACACAAACAAATAGAAGAGGCCATGTGAGGCAGAGAGAAGGCAGCCATTTGTAAGCCAGGAAGGAAGCCTTCACCAGAACCTGAGTCTGCCGGCACCCCAATCTGGGGCTTCTAGCCTCTAAAACTGGGGGAAAATAAATTTCCGCTGTTTAAGTCACCAAGCCTGTCATCTTGTTATGGCAGACAGGGCAGGCTAAGATACTACATTAAGTTGTATTATTTTGCCATGTTGAATTTAAGCTTTATATCAGATATCATGTTAGTAACGGCCACAAGAGAATCATCTGTAGCTTACTTTCCCTATTATAATTGCAGGAATATCCTTCACTGCTGCCAACAAGTCACCTCTCCCATTTTCCTTTCTCTTGTTTTTTCAATATTTGATAGACACATGAATATAATAATTTTTTTTACTTTATATCATAAGAAAAAAAATGTAAGTACTAGGCTATGCAACTGAGATTAAGCCCAATTTTAGCGGACACAGAGAGGACTAAGGTAAACTGGAGAATGCAAATTCTAAGGAGAGTCAAACATTACTCAGGTATAGCTCACTGTTGATAGGCAAAAACAATGCTCCATTGTTACCAGCTCTTCTAATTTCCAATTTTAAATGTTCAGAGCAAATTCAAATTAAAAAAAAAAACACACATGTGAAAACCTGTTCCCACAAAAATCTGTATATGAATGTTCATGATGGCATTATTAATAATAGCCAAAAAGTGGAAACAACTCAAATGTCCATCACCTCATGAATGAATTAACAAAATGTGGTATATCTATACAAGGAAATATTACTCAGTCATAGGGGTAGGTAAAAAGCGGCAAGTGGCTGCTTAACTGTTACAGGGTTTCTTCATGAGGTGATGGAAATGTTCTATAATTAGATGGTGGTGATGGTTGCACAACATTGTGAATATACAAAAAAATCACTGAATGGTACACTTTAAAATGCTGACTTTCACCTTAATTAAAAACAAAACAAAACAAAAAACAAAACAGCACTGTACAAACCAAAATAAACACGTTTTCAGGCCAAATTGGGTTTGCAAGCTGCCAATCTACAATTTCTATTCTCTATTAAAGATTCTCAAGTGATATTCTTTACCCATTCTACATACAGGCAGAAGTGTATGATGCAAAAGCTAACAAAAGGAAAGTCTTTTTCCAATTAGCAGAAAAAACTAAAGGTTAGGATTTCTTCAACTTTGTTTTTCCCCATATAAGATCTTTTTAGCTTTCTGGTCCCTTTCAAATTAGAATATAGTATCTAACATGGAGTGAAAATATATATTAAACTTTATGGTGTCCTAGAAGAATAGCAACTTTTAGGTAGTACACCACCAGACAAGATATCCTGGGTCTTAGACAGAGAAGGGCTTAAGTTACACCTAACACTCACTCGCCCTGAAATCTACTGTCTATCCCACAATCTGAGAAGAACAAGTCAGCAAGTATTTGAGAGCTTCAAGCTTGGTAGTATGACTGACCCCAATATAAGTGGGGAAAAAATAGTATTTAAGTGCTAGCAGAACTTAGAAAAAGGATCAAGATTCTGAGATTCCAGATGGCCCTGAATAACTAGAATTCCCAGAGTGGAGGAAAAGTATCTCAGGGAGATAAAAGCATGATAAGGACACAGAAGGAATGCCCAAGACACAAGGAGAAAATAAAGGCATCTAGATAATCCGGAACCAGTGATCATGTAAAAAAACTAGTGGGATGGTGATTAACATAGCATAATAAAAAAACAAAACAAAACCAAGAAAACAAAACAAAAAAAACTAGTGGGAGATAACGCTAGAAACATCGTTTGAGGCCAGACTGTGAGATTCTGAATGCCAGTTTAAGAAATTCAGACTTTTTCAAAGATAATTTCAATAACCTTTGAAATAAAAAACCAATTTAATTACTCAGTTAGTGAATGTTTTAAGACATATGATGCCATCTTTGGATCTTTTCTTTGCCTACTTTTGTATGTAATGCATTTCTTCTTGGCACTTATAAGAAAAAAACTTACTAAGGTTGGATACAAAGCATGGCAATTCAACTAACAATTAAAGAAAAATCTATTTTAGTTGCAAAAATAAGAGTAGCTGTTTTATTCTTACCCCCGTTCCTGTTTATTTTTTGTCTTACTGATGTCTAATTTCCAAATATCCCCGCTCTCCCTCCTCTCCCTACCCAAGGGCAATGTTTATTTACACCTGCAAGTAATAAAAATGACAAGCCAGAATCCCATTTCTTTGGTCTTGCTTGGAACAGAACACAATAACTACACATAAGAGGAGTGAGTAAGAGATGGGGCTTTAGGGGCCAAATAAAACTGTCGACTCCCACAAATTATGTGTTTCTGCAGCATCTAAAGTACACAAACCCCAGAGAAAGACCAAAGACTGCAGACTGCCCAGGTGTGAACACTCGGTATGCCACTAACAGGCTGTGTGACCCTGGGAAAGTCACTGAAACCTCTCCTTGTCTCCCTTCTCTCATCTGGAAAAAAAACCCCAAAAACCCCACAAAAAAACTGAAATACTAATGTCATACTTAACAGAGTGGTTGTGAAGATTATATGACTTAACACATGTAAAGCGCTGAGCACAGTACTTGGCACATGATCAATGGTATGTGTCAGCTATTTTATCCACTTTAGTGTAAGCTTCACAAAAGCCAAGGATTTGTCTTTGCTTACTGAAGTCTCATGTCTAAAATGGTGCTTAATACATAGTAGGTGTACAATAAGTATTTCCTGAATGAATAAGCACATCTTGCCATTAGAGTAAGAGAGACAGAAGAGACACTGTTTAAAAGAGAAAGGAGAAAACCAAAAAAGGTTAAATGTCTTGCTCCTCCTGCGCTGCTTTTTAAAGAGATGTCCTCCCCCACAGACTCTCTCTTAACTGCGCTGAGTGTTAAAATATCAGCATTCAGACATCAGAAACAGCTGTCTGAAAGACTTTGCTGTATTTAAATAAATACAAGGTTAGGAGAAAACTGCCCCGTAACCTTGCTATCCAAAGTGTGGTTCTCTGACCGGCAGCATCAGCATCACCTAGGTCCTTGGTAACTAAAATGGCAAATCATCAGCTTCACACAAGACCAATTCAATCAGCGTCTGCATTGTAAAAAGATCACCAGGTAAACAGCATGCATATTACAATTTGAGAAGTACCACCCTAGACCACTGTAGTTGAAGAGTATAGGTGATAACAAGGACCAGGGTTCAAATCTAGACTCTGACACTTTATTATCTATAGGACCTAGGGCAAGTTTATAAACTTCCCAATTCCCTCATCTATAAAACTGAAACAATAATAACAGCAGTTCCCTCAAGGAGCTGCTATGATGACTGAATGGAAATGCACGGGCAGCACTTGGTGGACTGCAAAGTAACATGACTAGGGGGAATGTAAAATGGCACTGCAGCTGTGAAAAACAGTATGGCAGATCCTCAAGCTACCATATGATCCAGCAATTCCACTTCTAGGTATATATCCAAAAGAAGTGAAAGCAGTGACTCAAACAGCTATTTGTACACCCGTGTTCCTAGCAGCAGTATTCACAATAACCAAAAGGTGAAAGAAAGCCAACTGTCCACAAACAGATGAATAAACAAAATGTGATGCTCACATACAATGGAATATTATTCAGCCTGTCATTAGGCTCAGTGAAATTAGCCAGTCACAAATGAACAAATATTCTATGATTTCTTGGACAGAACATTCCAAGAGTTAGGCAAATTACAGAGATAGAAAGCAGAATATTGGATGCCAGGGGCTGGGGCGAAGGTGCAAGGGTAAATGGGGAGTCAGTATTTAAAGGGGAGAGTTTCAGATGGCAAAGATGATTCTGGAGATGGACGGTGTTGACAGATGCCCAACAATGTGAATGCACTTAATGCCACAGAACTGTATACTTAAAAATGGTTAAAATGATAAAGTTTCTTACGCATATTTTACTACAATAATAAAGGAATTCACTATGCATCTCTGCATTCTTAAAATTAGTAAAAAATACGTTGTGATGATCTGAACTTTTTATTTAAATTTTGTAAATGTACAATATAAAAGAGGAAAAGTACTCAATGGCTTTTTGCTTCTTATTTTTCATTAAGGAAAAGAAAAATCAACCTCCCTCTCCAGGAAGACTTCCAATTTTTCAAACTGAAAGAATTCTAATTAATATAGTTGGAAATAGGAGTGGAAGAAAAGAGAAGAAATTACAAAACAAAGCAAAACAAAACACACAAAAAAAACCTTGTTTAGGTGCTTCTTCCTCCTTTTTAGTCTCCTCATCCTCTAAGCTGGGACTTTCCCGGGAAGAGTTGTCCTGTTGGCTAGAGTTTTTCAGTAGCACAGGATCAATCTGTGCTTTCAGGAGGGCAAGAGTCTCAGCCAACTCGTTTCGATTTCTAAATAAGGGAAAAAACAAAACAGCATAAAAATCTTAATTCTGTTCTAAAGAGCTTTCAGACTAATACCTATTAGAAATTAAAATTTAAAAAAGAAAAACACAATTAAGAACATCCAAAACACTGGTACACCTCACTTAATTAACCTTGAATCTAACCATTAGGAATGAAAGTATATGAAAATATATTATTTTCCAAAAAGGAAGGAATCTATACTCTCTATTGACTAAAATGGCAATGCAAATCTCTTTGGCTGAAAAGAACAGTAGGAACAAAATTAAACAAAAGTCAGAGTTAGATAATTTTTAAAAGTCCTATGCAATCTCTAAAGAGTACAAAAGCAATGTAAAATTTCCTTGAAGAAGCATTTTTTTAAACAAAAATGATTCATTTTCTTGATACATTTGTAAATAAGGACTCTGTTCTACCTAGAGAAAGAATAGTATTTGATACTGTTATAAAATTATGATCCAGGTCTTTCTGAGTAATTACAACAAAGTCAGCTCTTATAGCACAGTTAAAAAACCTAAGAATTTAGGAATCTGAATGTTGTTCTGTCAATTACAGCTTACTACTACAGGAAGGGAATTCAACTTGAATCAAAAATACAAGAAAATCCCAAATAAATAAGATGTAACTTATCAATTCTCTATTTTTAATACCCAGACCAGAGCTCTGGTAGATGGTTGATTTAAATGCCACCTACACACAAGAAAGCTCACTTGGCTATTTCACCTTCTCAGATAAGTGATGTGTAACAGTGAAGAGAAAAAGGAAACCCCGGACTAAGAGATGGAAAAGTCAGTGTTAGATCTGCCACTGAGTTAATCAACACCGTAATCTTCCCATCTGTGCTGTCAAAACACTGTGTATGCACCTCGAATCCTACATAGTTCCTATTCAGATGAAATGACTTCTGTTTTGGGCGCCTGGGCGGCTCAGTCGTTGAACGTCTGCCTTCGGCTCAGGTCATGGTCCCAGGGTCCTGGGATCGAGCCCCGCATCGGGCTCCCTGCTCCGCGGGAAGCCTGCTTCTCCCTCTCCCGCTCCCCCTGCTTGTGTTCCCTCTCTTGCTGTCTCTCCCTCTGTCAAATAAATAAATAAAATCTTAAAAAGAAAAAAAAAGAAATCACTTCTGTCCTTATCTGTCATGCCACACACGTCCTCTACCCTCCCGTCCCCTGCCACCTCCATCCCAGCTCAACTCTGGTGACTGCAGGGACACTGCCTTATGAAGCAGGCTCTTAAGTAAGGAAACACTTAATGAACAAATAGAATTCCTGTTCCTAACCTAGATGGCTATGTGCCTCTGGACAAGTCCTCTATCTTCACTAGGCTTCAGCTTCCTTATCTATAAAAGACAGGATTCACTCGAATGTTATTAAAATGGCCTCCTAAGGAAAACAATACTTTTCAGTAATTAAAATGACAATCATTTTGTCATTATGTATGGGAATGAGCACACAGGTTTATACGTATTATTAATATTGTGTATGAGAATGAATTCATAGGTTACACATTTTACAAATAAAATGAGGTTTTAGAATTTTAATCATCTAATAGTAGGAGGTCAGATCAAGACCTTTCAGAATCCTCTCTGGCACTGCCTCCACTTCACAAAAAATAACAATAAAACTTAGATACATTAAAAAAGTTTATTTTGGGGATGCCTGGGTGGCTCAGTCAGTTAAGCATCTGCCTTCAGCTCAGATTGAGCCTGCTTCTCCCTCTGCCTGCAGCTCCCCCTGCTTGTGTTCTTCCTCTCTGACAAATAAAATCTTTTAAAAAAATTTCTTTTTGGCAAAGTTCCTATTTCCTAACTTCATTACACCAACCTGCTTCTAACCTAAGGCTCTCCCCACTTAATGTTATTACTTCTCTTAGTACACTAAGAATTCCACATGTAAAAAGTGCCTCAACCTTCTTGTTATTTTTTGAAGTCATTCTGGGAACTGAATATATTTAAATCGCTCACTATACCTATTTTAAAAAGCTTCAAAGCATTAGAAGAGAACCAATACTGCTACAAAATCCATGTCAATTACTGGACTAAGAAACAACGGAATTTAGCAGAAAAATTTACTGAAGAACTCCCTAAAAAGCTAATAACCTGGCGACTGTTTCAAAATGCAAGCTTCATGTAGTCATATATTATATGAAAACAGAAAACTATCCATCTTTGGAATTCTATTTTGATCTAATAATGAGATTTAGTATGCGAATTATTTTTAAAAAATCCCAAATTTGAACTAGTCAGAGGGGATTTTTATAAACATATATTCAAATTATACCCAAAATTCTTACCACTATCCATAGGAACTCTGAAAATAGACTATGGACGCTAACAATTCAGTGTTCTGCTCTCTCTCCCTCCAATGCTGGCTTTGTTTGCTCTAAAACATTTATTCACTCAGGTGTGTCAGATATATCCCTCCAAAATACCATGCCCTCTCAGGATGTCAGGTGTCTGCACTTCTGCTCTCAGCCTGGAATGTGTTCCTCACGGCTACCCTAACTATCCTTTCTAAAACAAGCACAGGATGAATAAACAACTGTGGTGTATCCTACAAGTCAATATTATTTAGCCATAAAAAAGAACAAAGTACTGATTTAACTACATAAATGAACCTTGAAATGACTGTGCTCTCCAAAAGAAGCCAGACACAATGGGCACATATTGTATGATTCTGTTTATGAAATGTCTGGAATAGGCAAATTATAGAAACAGAAAGCAGACTGGCAGATGCCACTGGCTGAGTAAAGGGAGAATGGTGATTAAAACTGCTAATGTGGTATGTGGTACAGGATTTCTTTATGGGGTGAGGAAAATGTCCTGGAATTTGATAGCGGTGGTAGCTGCACAACTTTGTGAACATATTAAAAACCACTGAACTGTATTAAAAACAAAAATGAGGGGTGCCTGTATGGCTCAGTCTGTTGGGTGCCCAACTCTTGGTTTCGGCTCAGGTCATAGTCTCAGGGTGGTGAGATGGAGCCCCGCATCCGGCTCCACGCTCAGCAGGGAGTCTGAGATTCTCCCTCTCCTCCTCCCCACTCCCTCACCCACTGGTGTGTGCATGCACACGCTCTCTCTCTCCTGAAATAAATAAATACATCTTAAAAAAACAAAAATGACGGTGGCTTGGACAAGATTATAGCTATGAAGGGGATGAGGAATGATCACACTGGATACACTTTGCATAGAGCTATTTGGATTTGCTGATAGAGTGGATGTGAAGTGAGAGAAAAAGAAAAGTCAAGAATGTGCCCCCAAGTTTTAGATCCAAGCAGGTGAAAGGATGTGACTATTAACTGAGATGGGACAAATATGTTGAGGTAGAAAGGTTAGAAGGTCAGATTAACAAGGAGACTGACTGACTTTGACTAAACAGATTCTCAACTCTTGTGTTTCGCTATCTGTACCTAAATTTAATTTAGACTTCAGTGAAACGGAGCATATCATCCTAATTATTATATTGTGGAATATGATTTTCTTTCCTAGTCTAAGGGTTGTTCAGAGTTAAGACTTAGTGGTAGGGATTAATCCTCAAAGAAGCAATTGAGCTGATAGTACAATACCATAACAAATCAAAACAAAAAAACAGACAAAAACAAGTCCAAGCACAGGCATCATCCTCTGCCAAGTATGGGTTAGGTACTAGGTCCTAAAGAGCACACCAGAATGATTTCCATCACAGATCACATTTAGGACCCTTTATTATCATTTACTACTTCCCTCTTTCTCCCGCAATTTGGAACTCCTTAAGAAACTGCATCAAGTGTCTGCATTTCCAGAACACAGCACAGTGTGAATATAACAATTTTTTTTTTCTTTAAGATGTTATTTATTTGACAGAGAGAGACACAGCAAGAGAGGGAACACAAGCAGTGGAGTGGGAGAAGGAGAAGCAGACTTCCCGCTGAGCAGGGAGCCAGATTCAGGGCAGGATCCCAGGACCCTGAGATCATGACCTGAGCTGAAAGCAGACGCTTAACTGACTGAGCCACCCAGGTACCCCTGAATATGGCAATTCTTTGTAAGTATTATAGTATATAATACTTTTACATCTTTTTTCATTTGATTCCAAATTAATGAGGTGACAAAAGAGGGAAGATAATGGAGAGTGACAATATTTCTTATGGGGGCCAAGAACCTGAAGGAAGACAGACATTAATGAGTAATATCAACAGCATTAGTATCAATGACAGAAGTTAACATTAGTAATTACTATGTTCCAGGCACTACTCCAAGCACTTTACATGAACTAGTTCATATAATCCCAATATAACCTGATTAAAAAGGTACTAGTGTTACCCCCCATTTTATAGAGGAGGAAAGTGAGGACATTGCAGAGAGGTACAGTAATTTACCTAAGGTCACAGTACAGATGAAAGGCAGAACTGAATTATAGTCTGACTTCCAAGACCATCTTCTCAATCACTGTGCTATACTAGGAGCATATGGTTTACAAATGTCTTTGACAGTTTGTCATTTTGGATACACGAAAACTCGACACACTGTTTAGAATTCGGCTTTTTGAAAATGATTGTCAAATCATTACAATTCTTAAAACATTTTTATTGAGGTATAATTTACATACTTTGAAATGAAAGTTCATCATTTTTGACATTTTGGTTGCTTTCAAGTTTTGGCAAGTATGAAAAAAGCTGCCATAAACATTTGTGTGCAGGTTTTTGTGTGGACGTAACTCTTTAACTCCTTTGGGCAAATATACCAAGGAGTATTTGGTTGCTGAATCATATGGTGTTTAATTTTATAAGAAACCATCAAACTGTATTCCAAAATGGCTATACCATTTTGCATTTCCACCAGCAATGGTTGAGAGTTTCTGTTGCTCCACATCCTTGTCTGCATTTGCTGTTGTCAGTGTTCTGGATTTTGGCCATTCTAATAGGTGTACAGTAGTATCTCATTTTAATTTACCTTTCACTGATGATATATGATGTGGACCACATGAAAAGTGTAATTGGTACAGATA